CTTCACAGAACAGCTGTATTTATACTGAAATTAAAAACACATAGGTGGACTCTATTTACTAATTAGGTGACTTCTGAAGGCAATTGTTTCCACTAGATTTTAGTTAGGGGTATCAGAGTAAAGGGGGCTGAATACAAATGCACTCCACACTTTTCAGATATTTGTAAAAAATTTTGAAAACCATTTATTATTTTCCTTCCACTTCACAATTACGTGCCACTTTGTGTCTATCACATAAAATCCCAATAAAATAATTTACATTTTTGGTTGTGACATGACAAAATGTGGAAAATTTCAAGGGGTATGAATACTTTTTCAAGGCATTGTATTTTAAGATTTAGTAGGTGGAAATATAAAGCAGAGATGAATCCCTTTGGGCCCTGCGATCGGAGGAGCCCAATTAAGGGGTATGTAGAAATCAAGGAGTTAGGGGTTTGAAGTTGAGTTTGAAGTGCGTGCCTTAGTTGTAGATAATGGTAAAAGGCACTATGGGCCATATCAAAACGTCAAAGGACTGAATGGTGTTATTAGCGTACATGTCTTACAGGTACATAAACTAATTCTCTTCCAAAATACAGTATCCTGTAGCTCTACAAGGTGTGGAAAAGTAGAGTTGTCCCACAAAGATTCCAAAGGAGTGTCTGTGTATATAGCTAAACCCTATTCAATCAGCGCAACACACCCTAAAATAATACAAAAGTGCTCTAAGACTCCATTCACATTTGGGCGTTTCAAATCAGAACCTTTTTTGGGTGTTGTGTGTCACGTGATTTTTTGCTTGCGCAATTGCAGCGCATTTGTTGAGTGGAAAACGCACCGCGATTGTGGCAAAAACGCCCTGCGTTTTCAGGTGCCATTAAAATGAAAGGCACCTCCACACGCGATTGTGCGTTTTCACATTGTTACACCGCGTTTTCAAATCACAGGCAGAATCGCGCCAATTCTGCCCGCGATTTGAAATGCCCTAATGTGAATGGAGCCTAAATAGTTGCTGCTAAAACACTGTTAGTGACTTCACAACACCTGTACCAAAACAAATAACAATATAGTGTAGCGTAACAAACTAATATCTCATATAAAAATTTATTTAAAAAAAACAATTAAAGTCCCATAAAAATGTATTTTATAAAACCACTGCGCAATGTTATATGTAGTGTATAAAATAAATCTCTCTTGCTCAGCTCCAACCGTGCCACCACCATTAGGTGAAAAACCTGCTCACCTCACTTTATGACCTCATCAATAGGTCATTATGCACTAAACATATGGGCACAATTGTGTACACCCTCTTTTGTCTTCCTCCAGCTCCTCTCCCGGTACTGCCACAGTATACACTCCTTCAGCTGACACTCTCATATAATATGTATTATGGAAAACAGAACAGTGGAACCATAGTGCTCTCTATTTATGAAACGATTTATTAGCACCCAACATAGAAACACTTACAAGATGTAAGAAACAAGCCAGCATATAATGTATATTTCATTACATGGCTCACCACCCCGCTCTCACAAATGGTCATCAATTCAAAATGTCTAGGGCTCAGCTCTTTCCACCTATATGCGTTACACCCCAGTATGTGGCAGCCTTCACAATGTTTGCATGACAGAATTCATTTAAAATTTGTAGTTTTGAATAGGCTGCAGTAGGGTTAATTCACCTCTCTGGTCAGCATTGTTATCTGTGTCCCCAATGGGGAAATTCACCCAACTCTGGAATCCTTAACTTGCAAATATGGGAAACGAAGGCCTGATTCTGAAACTCTCACTGTCCTAGTGAAGTGAGCCTTAACACAGGAAAGGAGGAACCCTGTTCCTGGAGACAATAATCCTGAATGACAGTCTGTCTAGAGATGGTGGAACAAGAAACGGGGGGGCGCCCTGCTTGGGCCCATCCATAATGACAAAAAGGTAAACCACCTTTCTAAAAGAAGCAGTGGCTGAGGGATAGACTCAAACAGCCTGAACCACATCCTGACAATGGCTGGAAATTTCCTTTTGATGGATTGAAGCATGATAAAGAGATAGGAGAATAATGTTATGGTTAAAGTGAAAGGCAGAGACTACCTTAGGCAAGAAGGGAGTCCTGGGCCGCAACACCACCTTGTCCCCTAGCAAGACCAAAAAAGGGTTCCTTGCAAGATAATGTTGCCTGTTCAAACACTTGATAGCTACAAAGAAAGAAACCTTGTGGGTAAAAATAGAGAAAGGAATGTCTCTAATAAGTTCAAATAGTGGCTTCTGAAGTGCTGAGAAAAACAGATTCAGATCCCATGCAGTCACAGATGAAAGGAAAGGTGAAATCACCTGAAAGACCCCCTGCACAAAGGTCTTATGTAGAAAGTGTGAAGACAAGGGTCTCTGAAACAGAATGGAAAGTGCAGAGACTTGACCTTTGATGGTGCTAAGAGCTGAGCATTGGTCAAGGCCCAACTGCATGAAGGAGAGAATCTGTCCCACAAAGAAGCTTTTTCGGTAAAATCCCCTGGACTTAAACCAACTGATGTACACCATCCACATCCAATGTTGCCCTTCCGATCTTGTACGTTGGATCCTTTGTTCAACAGACATGCCTGTAAAGTCAGTGACTGAGAAGCAGGATGGTAAATAAGTTCTTGGGACAGCAGATATGGACAGTCTGGCAGAGCCCACAGTGCATCTGTTAGAAGCCTTACCTGAATACAAATCCATCCAGTGTGTGGTTAAACCTGAATGCCAGAAGATACACATCCAGCATCCTCCCACCTGTAGCACAGGTCCTAGAACACCTCTGGGTGCAGGGATCAATCTCATGGGGGAAAATCTGCCTGCCAATTCTCTAGGTCTGGAACATACAGGCCTGACAAGACTGGAATGCTAAGTTCTTCCCAGGCCAGGATTTGGTCTGCCTCTCCTGCCGCACGGAGATTTCATGGTCCTTCAGGGTGATTGATGTATGCCACCACTGTGGCACTGTCCAAACGAATCTAGATTAGCTGGCCCTCCAACAAGGTACTCATGAAGAGAAGTAAGGAGATATGATTCCTTCGACAACCAGAAGAGAGGTTGAATACCAGTTTTGTTGCCAGCCTGTTATAGCCACTCTGGAATTTAAAAAATGCTGGGGATTCAACTGAAACTGATATAAATCACTGCTTTACATTGATGTAGGTGGTCACACAACACGCCCCAGCAACTTTATGAGCACACAATCATCAGGAGAGGGTTGGTTTACACTCTGGCAGCCAAAAAAGTAAAGTCTGGTACACACGATCAGAAAATCGTATGAAAAATACCGCTTTCAAATCGATTGCACGATAATCTGATCGTTCATACACTTAGCTTTCGCCCGAAAGGACCAGCACGAAAATTTTTCTCATACAATACCAGATTGTATGATTTTCATTTGATCAGTACAGTTTTCATCCAAAAGTACAAATAGAATGCAAAACATTACATCACTTCCGAATTTTTATTCTTTTACAAGTGTCACCAGTGGCCATAGGGGACTAGGTTGTATCTAATAGAACAATGCAAGATTGGATTTATTTTGCTCTGCTTTCATTTTTGTAAACAACTATAATATTGTTTAAAGCGGACCTTCTCCTGGACCGCCACAAAGAAAGTAATGTGCCCATGCAAAAGCTTGTGAAAAGACATAACAAAGCAGCCAAAATTTACTCCACCTTGCAGGACTTTCTTCCCAAGAATGTAATCACATTTATTCTTTTCAGCATGCTCCTCTGGGTGGCAATTTTAAGAAAGGGCAGAAGATTCTCTTACGTCCTGAAGTTCTAACCCCCCTTTTCCCTTACCCATGTCACACTAGACATCAGCAAAGGAAAAAAAATCTTTACTAGAAATCGTGAAAAATCTCCCAGAGTGTACACAAGATTTCCCAGGAAGGCACTGCGTGAGGGAGCCTTCCAAGGATGCATCAGTGAGGCCCTGGCTCATCAGTGCCTCTAGAAACCAGGAAGTGCAAAGTAGTTAAATGTAAGTTAAGGCCAAATGCCTTTTTTCTCACCACAAAAACAAAGATTATTATTATTATACAGGACGTATACAGCGCCAACAGTTTGCTCAGCGCTTTACATTATGGAGGGAGACAATACAGTAACAATACAATTCAATACAAGAGGGATTAGAGGGCCCTGCTCCTTGAAGCTTACAATCTAGCAGGGAGGGGATAGTGGTACAAGAGGTAATTAGCTGTGGGGGATGGAGTGGTAGGAGGAATAGTGGATTCCAGTATTAGCTGGGGGTGGGTTAGGCTTCCCTGAAGAGATGGGTTTTTCAGAGTGCGCGTAAAGGTGAGCAGGGTAGGCGATAGCCTGATAGCTTTGGGTAGGGAGTTCCAGAGGATGGGTGAAGAGTACGGTTTGGGTGGTATTTAGAGACAAGGTTGATGTAATTAGGGGCAGTGTTATGAACGGCTTTATACGTCAGTGTTAGTGTTTTGAATTTTATCCGTTGGGCAATTGGAAGCCAGTGGAGGGATTGGCAGAGAGGGGTTGCAGATATAGAGCGGTTAGTAAGGTGAATGAGTCTGGCAGCAGCATTCATGATGGACTGTAGTGGGGATAGCCTGCGATGAGGTAGACCAGTGAGGAGGGAGTTACAGTAGTCAAGGTGTGATATAATAAGGGAGTGAATGAGTTGCTTAGTGGTTTCCGAGGTTAGGAACGGTCGTATCTTGGAGATGTTGTGTAGGTGAAGTCTACATGAGTTTGTCAGTGATTGGACCTGGGGCTGAAATGACAGATTGGAGTGTAGGATTACACCTAGTACCCTGGCGTGAGGGGTGGGGCTGATGGTAGTGATTTGATTTCATATCATGATTTGATATCAGCATGCAGAGCTTCATGAAACACTTTTTTTCTGTTTGGTTGAGATAAGCGATTTTCTTTTCAATCTTTCTAGAGTTCTGTTAGAAAATTCTACAGAAATGTGACAAAATGAAGAAGTTGTTAACAAAAAGTACAAAACTGAGGGGCAATGAATATTTTATATTTTACTTACTTCCTAAATCCTTCATATATGTCCATATTTCTTTTTCCTCTTGGCTGTGAGCAAAGGCACAATTTCCTATAAACTGGCATTTTTTGCCAGTCACTATATGATGACACAGCTGTAGAGAAGACAATATATTTAATTTAATAATTTCCTTAAAATCGTATTTTATAAAAATAAACCTACCTTAAAGTGTTACTAAACCCATGACCCTGCATTCACTATATCTGTTCTCCCACAGTACACAGAACATGGAAATGCAATTATTTTAGTAAATATAAACTGCTAAATACCTTTTCTCATCCGCAGGATATAGCAGTCTTGTGACTTATATCAGTGCCCAGCTAAGCACTGGTTAAACTTGTAGAAGGAATTTAATTCTGCTCTGACTGTCCTATGAAGCTGCATAACCCTTGACCCTCTGACTGGACAGTACTGATTTGCCCTGTGCTGATCACATACAAATTCCCAAAGAAAAAACCTCTCTAAACTGAGCATGTGCAGAGTGACTCATACAGCTCTGTACCATCAGCAAATGGATTGGGGACAGTAGAAAGGGAGGATCAGAGAAGACAGGATCAAACTGCCTGTTTATACAATGAAGAGGATTAACCCCTTAGGTTCCACAGTGAGTATAACAAGCATGCTTTACTGCATATACAGACGGATTTTACTGTTGTGGGCTTAGTAACACTTTATATTAAAAATACAAGTTACTTTTACATAGATAATCTACTAATATTCCTAGCATTTACAAGTCCCCATCCTAGTATAAAATGTGAAAGATTTGTTATTTTTTTTAACATATGCTAAGGAAGCCAAGTACAAGTCTACAAGTATACTAGAAGCCAAGTTGTTAGGTGGAATTATAGAAGCCTACACAGTTTTGCCCCTCACAACATTTCCTTTCAACCAGGTTGGAATTTAGATTTAGACTTACTATCCCACTAGACAATTCCAATACATTAACTTACTTCCACCAAATTAGTGTTGGCTGTAAAACTGCTTCAAGATTTTAAAGGGTGATTAGACAGGAAGACACAATCCAACTATCCTCAGAAAGACTGACCTCGCCATAAACCTGTGAGTCTGGTCTGTCGAGCATTACAAACCTAAATAGAGGCACTGACTTATGAGGAAACAGTGATTGGCCAGCAGAGTTTGAAGCCACTTAGACATGAGATTTCTGATTCATTTGAAAAGAGCCCAGACAGGACGATGGTCATCTAGTTTCTTTATGTGTTTACTTGAAAACAGGGTTCATAGTCAGGAATGTGAAAACCTGTTAGTTTCTGAAGATAATGAGCTTTGAAATAATGGAATAACTCCGCCACCACATAAACTACTATCTGAGTATAACAAGTTGTGTTCTCTACTGAACAAACATGTTTTTCAAATAAAATAAGAATCACAAAAAATATTCAGAACAATAAGACTTGAATATTACCTCAAACTGAACTGGCAATGGTTTTCTTAAAGGGCATGGTCTGATAGATATCCACTTCTTAGCATTTTTTCCACTACTCCGCTCACTGGACATTGCTAACACGACCTGCCGATCTTTTGCCCATCTTTCAAAACATTTATAAAATATTTAAATATGTACTGAACAACAAGTCAAAGCAAAAAATTAGTATGCAGCCCAATATTATGTCTTGATATTTAGCTAGATTCAATTACTCGATATTCTGTACTTACGTGTGTCTTGCCTTTGCGCTACAATATTTTCTGTTTTTGTCTGCTTCAATTATTTGGCCATTTCTCCAGCACTGACCACACACAAACTTAATGTTCAAATTTGGACACTCAGGATTATTCTGCGTATTCAAAAGCTTGAAACAAATTGACAAATCATTAGTACTATATAAGGAACTTAAATACTCTAGGGTCATATATACTGTAAAATGAGTGAGGTTTGTATTTGTGCAGGACTTGTATTCTGTTAACAGTGTTAGCATAGTGGTGCATAGCATAGCGGTGGTGGACTGTTTCACTGGATTTCACAGCACCTGCTTGGAATTGAACACGATACTGCTGTGTCTTGCAGTGCCACACCACACCACTTAGTTATTTGTATTGACTATTTTTGCATATACGTTTGATTGAGAAATGTACAGTATCCAATTTGCACTGGTGTTATATTTTACCTTCAATTATTTAATATTCAGCGCTGCACTATATGTATATAGCTATACTTGAATTGATAAGAAAATTACAAATATCCAATGAAAATGAAGAGAAAAAAATAAGCCAGTTCTAATCTGACACCTCACTTTAGAAGAAAAACATGTACTGAACTTTATAACGGTTATTGAAACAGAACACTTGGATTGAAAAGTCTTACTTAACTGACTCCATTCTTGTTTTAGGCTAGTGACTTAAAGCATTGTAGCTAGAAATTTCAGCTTTGCAGCCAACAACCAGCCTTTTAACAGGAGTGGTCAGCAATGACTCCTTCCTTATTAATCTAAGTACAGGTATACAATAATATCAAGGTTTTATTAAACAATTCTGACAAAAACCGTGCACAAATCATATTTTTTTAAAATTTTCTGTATGTGGATATCAATTCACAAATCAAGGGTATACAGATGCAGAGCAATACAAAGCAGCATGCTGGTGCTGACAGGGGAGAGATCTGTATTGTTTATATACAGACCTCTCCCCTGTCAGTGTTCCTCGGCGATCCTGGTGGGAAATCTCCAGCTGGGACCCGGTGATCGACAGCTCTAGCCACCAATGGTGATGCGGGTAGGACAGCGTGCGTGCCCCTTACCCGGAAGAACAAAATCACGTGTGTGTGTGTGTGTATATGTGATTTTGCACAGCTCTGCGGCCCTGTAGCAGTAGTTCTGCAATAGGACGGTCAGGAAGCGGTTAAAGTGGATTGCACATTTGGAAGATCTTTAAAATGAATATAAGCTGTGTTTGCCTGATCTTATAGTGAGATGCGTGTTCCCGTATTAGTGGTGGTGATCACCTTGGATCAAAGATCTTCACTTGGAAGAATAATATTGTTGCAGGAAATGTTTTAGTCATTACACCGCTGGATTGCTTTTTTTTTTTTTTTTAAATTAATTTTGGTTAAAAATATTTTCATGTATTGTTTGGAGGACTTTATTTGATCATGATATTTAATAAATGATTTACTGAACATGAATTTTCATACTGAAGAATAATTTATATTCTTGAATCAGCACTGCAATTATTATTTTGTTACATCCTTAAATATGTTTTTTTTTCTAACGTAAGCTTTTAAACTTGACTTGGTATCAGGCTCTTGAAGTCCCTGTACAACAGAGCTCAGACTGTGAGATGGAGAAACAGCACAAGGAGAGATTCAGTTGTTCTGCAGTTCAATAAGCATACTAACGAGAGGTGAGAGCAGAGTGACAAAGAGATGAGCTTATAAGTCAAGCAATTCTTCTTTCACTGTCAAGCCACAGGGTACAGGCATGTAGAGATCTGTAATGGATGGTTCACACCCACAATTTCTGCGTCTTTGATGCTTTCTGGTGCATTTTTCCCTCTTTTCTGCATCTTAATTCAGGATGTGCATTCCAGTGCATTTTCTATGCGTTTTTTCTGCATTCCAGATGAGTTCCATACAGAACAAAATGCAGCATGTTCTACTTTTCTTGAATACACTAGAGCACACTACATTGGTGTCAACTAAGGCCACTGAAATAAATGGAAAACATTTTGCATGCGTTTTTGATGCAGATTAAAAACACACTGGACTGCATCTGGTGTGAACCAGCTCTAAATGTTGCTGTACTGTCGCAGTGAAAGTCATTTCTCAGCCCCTTGCCTGGTAGGGCTTGCTTAATGTGGCAGAACTGTGCAAGTCCCAGAAATAGATGGAAATTAATACATATCATTTGTCAGGTTTAACAACTCTCATATACAGTATGTATTTCCTTTAATTTCTTAGTATAACAAAAATTAATAATATTACCAGCAATTAAATAAATTATATACTGTATCCTAGCAGAAAAAAAAATAAACCCCTCGTTTTGGGGAGAGCTACAAAGAGGTACCCTATCAGCAATGAGCTTTTACTAGGAATTTGAAGATTTAGAACTAATAACAAAAAAAAAAGGGTAACAAAATAACAAATGTGCACATAACAGGAAACCAAATTTGTATGCAACGAAAAGCGAAAATGGAAAATGAGTGACTTGGAAAATATTTAGATTTTGATTGTACTAAAGGCCTTTTTGGTGACAGATTGAGCATATATAAATAGTACATTCTTGCCCATGCTGTCAGCTGGAAGGATTGTATGTTTTTTAGTGTTTATTTGGTATATAAGAATTAGCACCTGAAGAATACCGCCACTGATTTAGTACATTGGGGTTGATTTACTAAAACTGGAGAGTACAAAATCTGGTGCTGCTGAACATGGTAGCCAATCAGCTTTTAACTTCAGCTTGTTTAATGAGCTTTAACAAAAAAAAATGCAGAACTGCACCAGACTTTGCACTTTCCAGTTTTAGTAAATCATTCCCAAAGCATCTTATCCATACACAATGTACACCTGTAGATTAGTAATTGTAACAATAATTCAAAAATGTACCTGAGGCTTATGTGCACTGGACTCATTTGCCCAATATTTCTGAGATTCTTGCACAATTTTTTCAAATGAAATTCCTAAATGAAAAGAAACAACGTTACGAGAGAGTTAACTGAAGCAATGTAATATGTACATTTCTTGAAGAAACTTGTCCCACCTGTCTCATTCTGAATCACCCAGACCCTGAGTTCCACCAAGCTATGGGCATAGAAGCACTCATCTTCTCTTAAACATCCATAGCGAACCTCATGACGACAAAGATCAAGCACAACCTGACTGTTGAAAGGACGTATCTTCCAGTACTTTACAATTGTGTCTTTGAACACGTGAACAAGGCATCTGCATAATTAAAATGAATCGTGAAATCTTTATTTTTATTAAAGTTGAAGTATAGGCAATTATAAAAAAAATAACTAATGCAACTGTGTATTAATACAACTAGCTTAAAGTGGTAGTAATAAAAAAAAACCCAAAAAAACTGGGCCACCAGGCAGTTTAAGTTATATGTACTAGTATGCCGCACATACTCGCACATTATGACAGACTTACCTTACAGCAAATCCCTCCAGGGGCACACTGTAACCACTGCCATCTTGCCCCGGTCTTCCTTCTGGCTCCGCAGGGTTCGGCCGTGATGATGTCACTCCCGTGCATACGCACAGGGAGTCATGGTCGTGTCACAGCATGCTCAATGGACGACCATACTCCAGTATGCTCTCAATTCAGAGCACAGCGCACATATGCCATTGACGTCACCAGCCTCTGCAAATGTGAATATCTCCTAATGGTGCACGTTTAGCTGATATCCACTGTACCTAAATGTAAGCCTTATTAGAGGCTTACATGTAGGTACAAATCACAAATTGGACTTTACTACCGCTTTAAATACTCAAAATGTGTCTTGAAATCGGCCTTCTATCAGCAACACTCAGTCTGGTTCTGCTGCCTTCACCTGAACTGACAAAGAACATGCTGACAGGGGGAGAAAAGTACATTGAGCACAGCCTATAACTTATTAATGTGCTGCTGCCCTTTTATTGTCAGCAAGCTGGTTGCAGCGAGGTAACCGCACTGTATTCTACAACTCTAACAGAGAAAGTGGTGTCACCCTTCTGGCTGTGCTGCCTGGTAGAAGTATTTACATCATCTAAATGACTGGGAGGAAACATTAGAAATGTCCTTAGTGCCATCATTATTTCCAACAATATGAACACACACACACATCAGGTAGCACCTACTAATAGTATTTTGGCAACTTTAATTGCCTTAACAGTGCCCATCAATGTCAATCAGTGCTGACAATCAGTGCCCAGCAGTGCTGCCTGTCAGTGCCGGCTATCAGCGCAGCCTCATCAGTGCCTCCTCAATGCCCACCAGTGTTGCCTCATCAGTGCCCATTAGTGCTGCCTATCAGTGCCGATCAGTGTTGGCAGTCAGTGCCCAGCAGTGCTGTCAATCAGTGCCCATCATTGCTGCCTATCAGTGCCCATCAGTGCAGCCTCATCAACGCACATCAATGAAAGAGAAAAATTACCTGTTTAAAAAATTTTAAAATAGAAACTAAAAAAGAAAAACTTTTGGTCTTTTTTCGTTTAGCAAAAAATAAAACATCCAGTGGTGATTAAATACCACCAAAAGTAAGCTCTATTTGTGAGAAAAAAAAGATAAAAATGTAATATGGGTACAGTGTTGCATGACTGCGCAATTGTCATTCAAAGTGCGACAGGAAGCCTATGTTCCCAAGTGAAGGCACGGAAGTCCTGCCTGCAGCCCAGTCCAGGTTCAGTGAGCTGCTGCTGACAAGTCCACTTGGAGTGGGGACATTCCTGACTCTTAAGCTTTCTGTGCTTACAATCAGCATAGCCATCGCTAATATATGAGTGCAATACTGATGTAATACTAAAATGTTTTTAAATACTACACTTAGTGGTGCCCCCTGCTGTTCTTTAATTATAATAAAATATCCAAAGCTTTGAACATCTCATACAGCACTGTTCAATCTATCATCCGAAAATGGAAAGAGTATGGCACAACTGCAAGCCTACCAAGACATGGCCGTCCACCTAAACTGACAGGCCGTGCAAGAAGAGCATTAATCAGAGAAGCAGCCAAGAGGCCCATGGTAACTGTGGAGGAACTGCCGAGATACACAGCTGGGACAATCTGTCCACAGGACAACTATTAGTCGTGCACTCCACAAATCTGGCCTTTATGGAAGAGTGGCAAGAAGAAAGCCATTGTTGAAAGAAAGCCATAAGAAGTTCCGTTTGCAAGAAACCATGTGACGGACACAGCAAACAAGTGGAAGAAGCTGCTCTGGTCAGATGAGACCAAAATTGAACTTTTTGGCCTAAAAGCAAAACGCTATGTGTGGCAGAAAACATAAGAGAGAAACTCCTTAAGTTAATTGGGACTTTAAAGGCATAAATATGTAAAATTGGAACACAGAAAGTACAAACTCTTTATTTTGTCAAAATTTTCACAGCATGATGAACCATTCAAGATCATAGTATAACATCACCATCAAAATCATTTGTTGGTAATACAAATACTTTATATAGTCATACATAGTTGACCATTTTTAAAAAAACATAATGTGACATCACCATCAACACATATTGCAGAGACAATTTCTATAGATCCAAAGCATTTTGGAGTGACTTCACTCCTTCTTCAAGGAAAGAGGAAAACTCTGCATAGGAATGACATCATCTACAAGATTGAACATATATTTGTTTGAAACATTGCTTATATCCACTGAAAGTATTTTTGTGATTTTCAATCTATAGATATACTCACAATATATAAAAGTACAGAAACATAAGTGAATCTTCAACCAGACTTAAAAACAGAGAACTTCAAATTGTTGCCACCTCATAGGTCAGGGGACCGGCGAGCCCCAGGTGCATAGGGCCCCCCCCAAAACCAGATAACAAGGGCACACCCAGATCACTGCAATAGAGGATTTAAAAAATAAATACAGGGGATTTCCAAAAACACAATTATATAATAAACAAAGAACCATAGTGGTATCCCTGAGTGAAAACCCACCATTATATTTGTGAGCATCTGGGCACTTCAGTATCTCATCCATATCTAACCCGATAGACTGGGAAGTGTATAGGTAACGGTTTTCAAACGATTGAGACGTATAAACCTATTGAGGATTTATCACTGGGGAAATCAATAAACATACGTATATATCAATATACATGTCCATTCAGTTGAGAAAACACAGATTCTTTCCCAAACCAAACAGGGAAAGAAAAAGGGGAGCTTATCAATAAATAGATCTAATGCTGCCCAACACACATAAAGCCACCCTGCGGTAATCCGGAACCATCTGCACTGGCCCATAAAAGAGAGGATTATCAAAGCTATAAGGGATAAACCCCAGTTATATAAGGACCTCGAAAGCAGTCCAACCAATCATCAAGCAGTGATTGAACATCACTCATGGGAAACAAACAAGGGACCTAAAATGGCGTTCAACCGCCAAACCCACGCTGTCCCGGGCATGAACGTTGCTGGGCACTGCCCCCCCAACACGCCCCATTGTGTGGAGTGACGTCATGCATCGGAGGATCACCGACACACTGAGGAAAGCACAGCCCAAGAACACAGGTTCGAAACGTATTATTCATTGTGATTATGCTGCCGCCCTTGTGTGGCGGAAAACTAACACTGCACATCACCCAGAACACACCATCCCCATCGGGAAACATGGTGGTGGCAGCATCATGTTGTGGGGATGTTTTTCTTCAGCAGAAACAGGGAAGTTGGTCGGAGATGATGGGAAGATGGATGGAGCCAAATACAGGGCAATCTTAGAAAAAAACCTGTTAGTATCTGCAAAAGATGGAGGTTCATCTTCCAGCAGGACAACGACACTAAACATACAGCCAGAGATACAATGGAATGGTTCAGATCAAAGCATATTCATGTGTTAGAATGGCCCAGTCAAAGTCCAGACCTAAATCCAATTGAGAATCTGTGGCAAGACTTGCTGTTCACATCTCCTTCCAATATGACAGAGCTTAAGCCAATCTAAATGGTCCTGAAAACCATTTCACAATCTTAGATGTGTAGTCAGCAATGCCAGGGAAGGAGGCACAAATCTCACACATGGCTATACCTGTGTTACGGTCAAATCTTGCTTAACCACTTCCAGACCGGACACTTTTACTCCCTTCCTGACCAGGGCAATTTTCAGCTTTTAGCGCTATCACACTTTGAATGACAATTGCGCGGTCATGCAACACTGTACCCAAATTAATTTTTTACCGTTTTTTTTTAGATAGATAAAGCTTTATTTTGGTGGTATTTATTCACCACTGGGATTTGTATTTTTTTTGCTATGTAAATGAAATGTCCAAACATTTTGAAAAAAAGTGTTTTTTTTATAAAATTTTGCAAATAAATAATATTTCATCATAAATCTTAGCCAAAATTTATTCCGTTATCTTTTTAGTAAAAAAAAAAAAAATCCAAATAAGTTTATAAGCAAAAATTATAATTTTTAAACATTTTTTTTTACATTTTTATTTTATTTTTTTATATTATTATTTTTTATTTTTTATTTTTTTTTTACATACGGTCACCCTAGCAGTACAGTGTCACCATGGTGACACTGTACTACTTGTGAGGGGTGATGAAGATTTTTTTTTTTTTTTTTTTTTTACACTGATTGCTTTTACACCCATATAGGATGTAAAAGCAATCATTTCTCTTTCTCTCTGTGTGCATTCTTGCACTCATTGAGAAGAACTGAGTGAGCTGTGACTGGTCACAGCTTGTCACATGGTACAAGGCTTTTGTGAATAGCCTTGCACCATGTGACCTCTGTGATCATTCACAGATTTCACACATAGTAAGCAATGATGTCAGAAGTGACATCTTGCTTACTACTTTGTATGTGATCACTGATTGGCCAATCAGTGATCACATGATCGGGACCTCATACAGAGGTCCCGTCCGACAATCGGTGTTTCACTGTGTCCGGAGGACACAGCGGGCACCGAATCGCGGTGCTGCGCGCTCCCAGGGAGCGCGCACAAGCAGGGTGCGGAGAGGCCGTTTATAGACGGCCACCTGACCCTGCAGTGCCACCGTCCGGCCGTTTATATTACAACGGCCGGTCGGGAAGTGGTTAAACTTCCTTATTCCAGCATTTTGAGGGTGATTTGTTGAAGGGGACTCCTTTGCTGGTTGTTTTTCTCTTGTGCAGTTTGATTCTGCAATATCATGTTGCACTGCACTTTCCGAACAAGAAGTCTTTGCAAAAACAATTGTCATCTGCAGTTGCTTCGCATCTTCTGCTGTCACAGCTTTTGCTGCAT